TCAGCGCTGAGGGAGCGGGCACTGTCGGAGGGTCAGTGCTGTGGGAGTGGGCACTGTCGGAGGGTCAGCGCTGAGGGAGCAGGCACTGTCGGAGGGTCAGCGCTGAGGGAGCGGGCACTGTCGGAGGGTCAGCGCTGAGGGAGCGGGCACTGTCGGAGGGTCAGTGCTGAGGGAGTGGGCACTGTCGGAGGGTCAGCGCTGAGGGAGCAGGCACTGTCAGAGGGTTAGTGCTGAGGGAGTGGGCACTGTTGGAGGGTCAGTGCTGAGAGCGCCACACTTCAAAGAGTACCAAGCATCACACATGTTCCATATGGGGTATTATATAATGTTTTCTATCTTGGGGCACTTGTCAGGATGTTACGAAATAGAATGTGTTTTGTAATTTGGAGGAGGTTGTTACAAAATCGAGCCAAGAGAATCCCCAGCCTTGTGCAGCCTTTCCAATGATGAGATGTGGTATTGAACTTTAGGAAGAGAATTCCAGAGCTCTGTGGCCCAGGCAGCTGAGGGGACTGCTGTCATCACTTGAGTGATGGGAATCAGCGAATGATCAAGAGTCGGGAATTGAAGGAGCTTACAATCTGCACTTGTTCATGTTGTCTGTCCCTCAGAGATTCACACCCTCAATGGAAGCCTCATTTTAACTTCCCTGGAAAATACATAATAAACATGTTGAGAATAAGTTATCATTTCCTGGGTCAATCATCATTGATCCTCCGACAGTGCCCGCTCCCTCAGCACTGACCCTCCAACAGTGCGGCGCTCCCTCAGCACTGACCCTCCGACAGCGCAGCGCTCCCTCAGCGCTGACCCTCCGACAGTGCGGCGCTCCCTCAGCACTGACCCTCTGACAGTGTGGCGCTCCCTCAGCACTGACCCTCCGACAGTGCGGCGCTCCCTCAGCACTGCCCTCCGACAGTGCCCGCTCCCTCAGCATTGACCCTCCGACAGTGCGACGATCCCTCAGCACTGACCCTCTGACAGTGTGGCGCTGTGATATTGTTCTGTAAAGTGGTCTCCCCAGTTTTGTAAAATAGGTTAACAAGCCCCCTGCTCTGCTGGGCAGGAAGTGAGACTCCCCATTCTCCCAAGTTCAATGTTTATAATGAAGCTCAGTTTCCAGACAAACCCAAAGTGATCCCAAGCTATGCACACTGCCGAGCAGGAGGGATTTTGCAGATCACAGCTTGTGAATGTGGGGGAAATGTGTTTCTGTCCTCACTAGGTACGCTTCCAGCAGTGACCGGGCTCCAGGCCTCTGGAAGCTGCCTCTAATTTCCTGGGACATAATCAGCCCTATTCCCCCTTCACTCTCCACTCATGGTTCATAAAAGGGAACTGCAGGCGCTTGGTGGAGGCGGTGGGTGTGTGGGATAGGGTAGGGTGTGTCTCTGGGACGTCCCACTCAGGCTCTGGTACAAAAGCCGGCAGCTTGCTGGAGCTGCAGCTGATTTTGGATTGGAAGGAGCAAGTCTTTCTGCACCTCAGGCTGAGAGAGCGAGAGCTCACAGTCAGATACACATACATCCCGTCTACATTCAGTCCTCAGACACACACTGACAGACTCTCACACCCTCACAGACAGACTCTCTGCAATGGATCCCTGTTGCTCTCACCAGGCTCTGAAGATGGTGTTTGTTGGTGATGGAGGGTGTGGGAAGACCTGCCTGCAGACTGTCTTTGCTGAGGGACATTTCCCAGAGGTAAGCTGCAGTTCACTCCCATTTCTGGTTGGCTCTGAGACGCAACTCTGTTTAGAACTGCCCCCTTCCCCCCCCCCGCTCTTTCCCCTCAAGACCCCTTCATCCGTCTCCCTGTAAATCTTTCCCTTCCCACCTTCCCCCTGTCTCCCTGTAAATCTTCCCAATGCCCCTCCTGGGGGTTCCTATCGAACCTGTTCCCTCTCGGGCAGCATGTTCCACATCACAATAACTCACTGTATCCCAAAATAAACCAATTCTCCTCATCACCCCACCACCCCCATCTCTGAAATTTCCCCGAATCGCTTCAATCTGGGACCCTCTGGTCACTCACTGGAAGCTATTTCCCTGAATAAACTCGAGGGAAAATCCCTCGTGTTTGTGAGCAGCTCGATTCAATCTCCTCCTGAGTCTTCTCTGCTCAACTGAGAATCCTCCCACGGTCTCCCACCTCTCTCCATGTGAACTGACAATCTGAAAATCAATCCTTACAAAATAATGTTGACCAGATTGAGTGAGAGAAAGGGGCAGAGAGAGAGAGAGAGAGACACACACACACTGAATGGGCAAGTGAATGAGACAGAGGGACAGTGAGTGACAGAGAGAGAGAGAGATACAGAAGAAACAGAGAGTGATTGAGAGAGGGGTGAAGGAAAAAGAGAGAGTGAGACAGATAGAGAGAGTGGCAGTGTGTGTGGCTGAGAGAGGATGAAGGAGAGAGCGTGTCGCTGTCCTATCCGCTCGCTGTGTCAATTTTCTGAATGGGGTCTACCTTCTGTCTTCCAGACCTACATCCCAACAGTCTCGGATCAATTCTCAGCACACTTCAGCTGTGGGAGCTTCCAGTTGGACCTCAGCCTATGGGATACAGCAGGTCAGTAGGAAGAATGCAGTGAGATATCCTGTGAGAATCATGGGGCTGAAAAGCCTCCTGCTGTTCCCCTGTGTAACAGGCTGGGGAAGGGGCCGAATG